AAAAAACAAAGTTATATTATATGCAACATATAAAACAATAACAAGAATAGCAATGAAAAGCATAACAACAATTGCAATAAAAGCTGCAACAACAATAAGTGTAATAGTAACAACAACAACAACAACAACAACAACAACAACAACAACACTATTAACAGCAACTGCAGAAGTAGAAGCAGCAACAACAACAACAACAACAACACAACCGAGCTCACATGCAGCAAAAGTGTCAACGACGTAAGATGAATTTATTACTGACAGCAACAGTCGAAAGGACACAAAAATACAACAAAATGAATTCAGTAACGATATAAAAAAACAACAAAGTATTGCAACATGCAACAGCAACAGCAATAATAACAAAAACAGCAACAATGATAAAGAAGTAGCAGTATTAAATAACTTTAACACACGCTACATATGGCAAATATTTATATGAATGATGTGGTGAGGAGTACGAGTAATAGAAGTATTACTTCTCGTTGAAAATGTCTTAATCACGTCTAAGGATTAACTCTTAACATGAACTGTAATATAACTATCACCTTTGATCTCATGCATGAGAATATAATACAATTGTTTTCAAGAGCAGGAATTGTATTGTTCAGAACAATGGATCAAATATCCCTGAAATAAGTGAATGATATGGATTGACTGCCCCCAAACAGCATATTAATCTCGCAGATTCGTTTTATGTGCAGGAATTAGAAAGTCATATTCCAACAGAAAATTAAAGTGAAGATCGTAGGTAGGTACACGATAATACTGAACCAGTAGCTGTTAGTCCCTGTCTCAGCTGATTACATGTGCTCTAAAGCAGACTTCAATCGGGGGTTCACTCCACCTTCCTACCTAAGTAGGAACATAGGTACAAGGAAACCACTTAGGCCTCTACTCTCATTGTATTACCGTATTTTAAAAACTCAAACATTTAGAACCAATCAGAATCTTTGGCAAAGCTTGTAATGCTGGACTAAGCAAAGGTCTTGCAGTTGACCAAGATGCTCAAAAAAGGAAGTCTCTAAAATGGTAAGGCAGCGCCGCGCATGTGCCGGACAGAAATAAAGGAAACTGTGTTCAATTTGACAATCTACTTTTAAAAATGTCTACCAAACGATTGTCATATGCAAACAAATTGCCAACCTGCTGGCAATTTATTTTTCTCCGTCATATCAGTTGTCAAATGAAATTTTTCTGTTGTCAATTAAAAATTATTTGACAGATTAATCACTTAAGTCCATCTCAGGACGCACAGGAAGATATGCTGATCTACGGTCCGTCATCAGTTAGAAAATAAATAAATGATAAAGATTCTAGTATAGTTAAAGTTTAGTGTGGGGCAGGGACAAGCCCCTCAGCCACAATAGAGTAAAAGTGTGCGATAGCACTAACTCAAATCACAACAACGACTAATCAGTTATCAAAAATTAAAAGAATGAATATGACATCATACCCGTTTTCATAATACTGACAATATTTGACATTGAAATTGACATAGTGAAAACAAGGCATTATTCTGTTTAGCGTTCAATACTACTGAGTGCACTACTCAGCAGAATCCAAGAGGTTATAAATCTTTCAAAAATTTTTATATTATCCGTTAAAATTGTTCTCATCAACCGGGCATGAAAGTTACCTTTAGATCCTTCTGATATACCAAAGATTAAAAAATTTAAAATTCCTCCGTCTTCATTATTATGAAGATTTTTAAATTAAACCAATAATTAACTTTCACAGAACTTTTGTTGACTTTAAAAACTTTAATTAATTATAAAGTTATTGAAACAATTTCAGTCACTTCGTTAATTCCTTAAATACAATATTACTTATTGACTCTTATCAGATTGTGAAATGTGTGCATGGACCTGCCACAGGACATTATATCCTGTTGTGTATATACGTGGAGCGTTCACATTATTTCAACATTGCAAACATGAAAAGAATATATCTTATATGAACAGTAATGTTAAGATGTGGAAATAATTATTATCAACAACTGCAGTAACCTCAGCAAAGAAACGCAATTGAAAAAACAAACAGAAAAGCCTTAAATTTAAATTTTTATTTAAATAAAGCGAGCAGATTTTTCCATTCACTCGAAGGCAATTGTATCTCAATATAAGGCATTTCAATGGATCTCTTGACTGTTTTAATTCCGCAATTGTTGTTTTCATTTGGCTTTATTTGTAACTCAATTTTGTTTTTTTTTTGTTTTACTTTTGAATGAATGAATAATTAAGCTTAAATGCTAATAGTCATAAATCATCTACGAGAATTGTACGATACAATATCTGGTTGCCTCAAAACCGCAACTCGCCCCTTTGAGGTTTTACCACAGACTTGCAGAAATAAGCGCGACGGTGTATATTAACATTGCGTTAAAATGTCATTACTTATTATTGGAACAAGTAACTCGCACTTAAGTCAAAGTTAAGTTTATCACTTTACAGTGGAGCGCGTGTGACACAGTAACATTATAATGACTTTTCTAGTACAAAAATTAATTAGTATAATTAATTATAAGACAGTAAACAAAATTAAGTTTATTGACGTAAATTATTTGATCAAATTATAAAATCTATGACTTTAATCCATTAGAAAATATTAACTCCATACTGGTTCCAGTTTGTATTAAAAGCCATCGTAGATCACTAGATTTGCACTATCTCCTGTATATTAAAATTAGTCTATAATAAGTTCTGGAACAACAGTGGGCTGGTAAAATTGGGGAATAAAAAATCGTTTGGTTTGAGATACTTATGATATTGATCGATTTTGTTGCAAGTGAACGAGTTTTGAATAGCGGATATTATATATTATCATTGATACGTTTGAAGAACGAAATTTTGAAAAAATTTTGCCAAATAAAGATATATTGTTTCAACATGGTAATGCATCGTCTCACAGATTGTTAATTAAAATTACAAAATTGAATAGAATATATTTCGAATTGATTCCGAATCTATCGTATGAATATAATGGACACTAGCGACTACTAATTGTTCGGTGAACTTAAAATATGCTCCAGAAAACCATATAGCTGTTGAATATATAGTATTAAAGAAGTCGTTACCGAGATAAATACCTTTCTAAAATCGGAAATAAATCTTTTTTCAAAAGAGGTATACAAATGTTAGAGAAACGCTGGAATGATTGTATTGCTCTGCAGGAATCTATGTTGAATTTAAATAAAAATTGTGGTTTTATAGCATATCCTTGAAATTTTTCAGTTGATATTGATATAAGTATACTTTAAGTTAATATTAAGTTCAAGTTAAATAAGTTAAGTCTTTGATAAAATTTCTTACCGAGATACTTTTCATCTAAATTAGATACTAAATATAATACCTAATGTAATCTTTTAAAGATGTGCACATTTTATACGATTATCAAAAAGGTGTACATTAGATTTGCTCAGATTTGTATAGTGCAGTCAATAAGAAGTTAGAGGTAGTCCCCATTTCCAACAACATTTTGTATAAAGATATTAGCAAAAATGTTCTATTTTGTGACGTCCGTCTGATCATGCTTCAGTTCAACTATCTTTCCTGATGATTCTATGTCTAACATACAGTCCTTTTATATTTATCAATCCTTTTATTCTATCATCTTCATCAATATCTTTGTTCAAATTGTTTTAATCGTACCCTACATTTTCCAAAACAGGATCCTAGATGCTTAGATCTATATAGCGCGCTCAATGAGAAGATGGAGATAGCCTCTATTTTCAAAATTTTTTTATATTTAGATGTTAGAAAACTTATTAAGTTAAGTGATGCTTGTCAATTCATGTTTTAGTTTAACTATCTTTCCAGATGACTCCGTTTCAAATATACACTGTTTTCTTCCATTGTAAATCTGATGGAATGAAATATCCTTTCATTTGTCATCTCTGTCAAATTTATATTCATTTTTTTTCAATCTATTCGTTCGGTGTTCAATCTATCTATCTCTAATTATATATACAGAGATTTTTCAATCTATTTCGTTCTTTTTCTATCCATCTATATATTAATATCTCAGTAAATCAATCACTTTATGTCATTCACTCAGTATATCACAGTTTTCATCTATATTACGATCAGTTTATTTGTCTTTTTTGTCTTTATAGGCATTCTAAAGACTGTATTTCTTTCTATCAGACAATAAATTCTGCAGATGCTATTAAAAAAGGAGAAAGCTATTTCCTCTCAATTAACCTTTGCTTGCCATTCCTTTTTGCGAAATACAAATATTTACAGACATGTCCTTAAAATTACTTCGGTGTTTTATCATAGGCACGGTAATTGTTCTTCAGCTTTTATGGGGAACTCATTTCATTACTTTAATGAAACAGCCAAAATTTTTTTAGTTTATACATTTGTGATAGTGAGTAGATGTTTAAGGAAATAATACTCCAGAGTGGAGTATTACTATCCAGTATCTTAAAGCGTACTGGATAGTAACAGAGCTCATTAGTAACAGTTTTTTCACCTTCATCTGTCAAGAAGCTAAAGCCGTCGCAGAATATCGACATTTAACCCAGGGTGCTGATCTATAAAATATATATTATTATTATATCAGTATTAGTATGCTATTAATTGTGTTGTACATTGAGTGGCCAGCACGCAATGGATTGAATTTTCTTTGCAGGAAGAGAAATATTATATGATAAGGACTGACATAGATCTCAATAAAGGAACTGTTGTAATTAGTCTAGTCAATTGGTACCAGTGAAATTCTTCCTTGTTCCAAAGGGGCAGTTATTGGTTCAATATTCTGATATGTGTGTTAAAAACATCATGGTGTTAAGCCTTCACGACAGGTAAACACGTTAAATTACTCTGTCATTTTAAAGTTAGACTATATAACTAAATAAATAATCTACACATTTTTATATAATAAAATTAAAATTCTAGATATTGGTTAATCATATTATGAAAGTAAGGTTTGATGCAGTGTTGAAATTAATTAAAACGATATCGTTTTTATTTTATATAAAATTTATTTAAGACCTTGTCAATATTATGCTCGTAGGAATCTTTAGAAATATATCATTTGTTGTATATCTCTGTTTCTTTGCATCTGTGGTCTTTCGCAAGTTCTCCAAATTCCACATTTTGTTGTCTAGTTTTTAAAAAAACAAAAATCAATATCTGCAACTGAAATTTAGTTTTTTATTTCGTAAATTTTGTTGGAATGTGCATCTGTCCAGTGCACATGCCATCGAGTGGGTCGGTGCATATTTCAAAATGTTCCACTGTGACATTGATCATAATTTATCGCCACTTGATCGTTTACACAGAAAAGGTGTTGAAAGTGAATTTATTGCCGCAAATCGCAAATGTGTTCATTTGCTGCCGCATTTTGTTGCAACTAAAAGCTGTCAGCGTCGAGCGATGCCGAAGCCGTGGCAATAACTCAACTCAACTAAATTTGTAACAGCAAAAAATATATAAAACAATTAATTAAAAATATGTTTTTTTATTAAAACTCAGGCAAGTAACAAGCTCACGTTTAACTTTTACAAAACTGCAATTAATTTTTTTTAAATTAATTAAAATGATTTAATTTAATTTATGTGTAATGTAATTTGATTAAAAAAATAAATTTTAAATAAAATTAAAAATAAAAGATTAAAAATGCTTTATCTCCATTATTTATTTATTTAAAATAATTAAATTTTTATATAGCAACTTAAGTCGAATATTTAATGGAAATTTAAAGTTCAAAACGTTTTGCTGTTAAAACAATTAAAATAATTAATTTTAATTTTTTAAGTTATTTTTTTTTTTGCTTTTGCTGGTGTTTTATTTAATTTTCTATGATGAAATTGGATTTATTTATTTATTTGTGTTTTTTTTTTCTTTTTTTGTATATTTGAAGTGTTACCTTTTGTGACATGTCGACGTAACTTTTGTTCTTTTGTTCTCTATGAATTTCGTTTAACCATTTTCATTGCGTCGGCATTAAACGTCAGTGCAAACCGTCAACATCACCGCCAACAATAACAGGAACAACACCGAAACAGGCAATTTCATTCAAGTGATGTAAACAATCTGGCAGCACAATAGAAAATTCAATTTAATTAATTATTAATGGATTTTCACGGCGCTTAAAGTCACAATAATGCCTTTGTCCTCTCTGCTTGTGTGGGAGCTTAAGTGAGAACGTATATGTATGGGTGTTCAATCAGTTCAGATTGGCAATAAAAATGAAGCTGTAGTTGGATTATTTGTGCCGTTTATGTCAAATTATTTTAACTGATTGTAAAGTGTCAGTTTGTGGAAGACAAATCCATGGGTCAATGGAGCCCTAAAGAAATAATGTCCAAAAAAGTGTTGGCCTTACTATCATGAAAAATTTTAGTTTTATAAGTATTTGAAGTATTTAGATGATTACGCTATGGGTCACTGGGCCTCTAAAGAAATATTTTTTAAAAAACCTTGCACTTACTACTATGAAAACCTCTTAGTTTGCTTAGTGTTTGAAGTATCATCACGGAAGAGGTGTGAACTTAATAATTAAAATACTTGATTTGCTAAATTCTTTAATTAATTGCTTTAATTAATACTGCTTAATTTTAATATTCCCCCAATTGAGTGCTACTTCTGAAGCACTTATTTTAAGTTATGGTTATCTGAGATAACTCACAGTACAGCCGGAAATTTATAAAAATAATAAATTTTTAACCCAAGACTTCAATAGAAGTGAAGAAAAGTCTGAAATATTTTGGGCTTTATTAATTCTTTTTTATTATCTTATTTATTTTCTTCATACACATCACAATCCTAATAATAAGGAAGGTGAGAATCGATTACACGGTTGAGAAGGATTTGTGTAATTTGATTAAAGCCAATTGTTAGAAGGAACTCTTTTACAGATATAGTCACATCGAACTGTGTAAATGGTTAGAAGGTAGTCATGTTATAATCTATAACATGACTACATGTTACATAAAATTGTGTTTATTGTTAGATATAATACACGGTACTGGTGGAGCAACAGAGAATTATGCTTATTCTTAAAATGGTCTCATATTACTGATAGCGTCACAGAGAATTGTGTGAATTCTTGTCAAGAACTTATATGACTGATACGACCACACAGAATTGTATTGATTGTTAGAAGTAAACCTGTAACACCGATAAGCCCACACATGAGAATATGACATTGATATCACTAATCACGCCACAGCCATTTATCGGAAAGAATCTTGTATTATCGTTTATAGTGGACCAAAGCTATATGACTAAAACAAACATGTGTATTGCTTTGGCTTAACAGACGAAAATAGATATTACTTATGTTCTCCATATGTTGCTCTCGATCAATTCCATTTCTAGAACAACTGGTGATAGTATTTTATTAGCTGTGTGTAACGCTTTTAGCACTTTAAAGTTTGTTCTTAACAATGAGAGTACGTAGCTTATAAGTTCTGCGTTGCTGAATTAATGGATATTATCCGAGAAAAGAAGTAACCCCATTTTTTGAACAAACATTGTAGACATTTCTGGCCTATTGTCTGTGGATATGCTAATTTTCAGTACATTATAATTATTTTATTGTTATAACTTACTAAAAATTAATTTTTCAAAATGTTTTATTTTTTTATTTATACAGCACTATGTAATTTTTATAACTTTGAAAAAATTTTAAAGCAACACCCCAATCATATTTTTCCGAAAGGTAAGCAACTTACCTCACTTACCGGCAAAGGCGGGAATACAGAGAGTTTATATTTGAATAATTTACTTATTGTATATGTGAATATTATTCATTTATTTTTAACACTTGAAATGTTTACTTTATATGCCAGAACACAGTATTCATTAGAATAAATAACAAATATCTGAACTTATTCTCACGCACTTCACTTTCGCTGAGATGACAAAATATGGCTTAATGAGTCTTACTTCCTCCTGAAATATAAATAAATAGTTTATTGGTTGCTCTACTCCAATTTCATTAAACACGGAAATAATGTAGATTGGATTTTCATTTAATCTGCTAATTTATCAGTAAATCTTGTGTAAACACAATAATTTCTCTTCAGTTTTATTGCCACAATAACTCGTTGTGTTTGTGATATTGCATTCATCAATGAAATTTCACGACTGAGTCGATTTGAGATACTCGCTTTGGGTGCGGGCGTTGCTAGGTTTCTGTGTGACGTCGAGTGCTGCAGTTTAAGCAAATCACTGTTCCATAAAGTTGCGCATCAAATTACAACAATGCAGGCCGTGCTCCCCTACTTTGGGCATACCCAGCAAGCACACTAAGCGTATTCTGCATTTTGAGATACTCCACTTGCTACCGCAGTTGCCGCTGCTTTTTTGGCCAATTAGCAGCAATTGACGTTTGTTGACGTTAAACGACGTTACCATAGCAGCGCATGCGTTACAGTTTTTATTTGTACAAGTGCTCGATTCCGCCGCTGCCGGAAGCGTAAAATTCGGTTAAAGCAACGTTCAGATATTTTTGTGTAGACAGACAGTAAGGCACATTGCGTGCATTGAGAACGAGTTGAACGGGCTGCAATCTGCGGTAAACAGCATTGTCGCATTGTAATAATTGAATTACAACAGCATTTGTGCATATTTGATAACAATTGAGAAATCTATTTGCATTTCTATTACAAAACTTTGAGATGCTTTCAGCCGGTACCGGCCGTCGCAGAGAAGACAACAGTGAATTGGCGCTCTAAAAAGTTTAAGTGCTAATCAAATTTATTAAGTCGTTTTTATTGTTATTCACATTTATGTGTCGTACTGGAGTACTCGAGACAGAAAAGTAGTTCGGTAGTTCAAAAAAACTGTGTTACGAAGTACAAATTCGCCTGCGCTAGTTTTAACCGCAGAGCAGATATGAGTTGAGAGCATGCGAAATATTATTTTAATCAGTCATTTTTCATGGCAGCTACGCGTCTCAAGCAGACTGGGAAGTTAGCATATTAATTTCATGAGACTTCTTCCTGATAAACTTTACTAAAAAAAAATTCAAAACTCTTCAAGCTGGAGTGTCGTAAGCTTACAAGTTGGCTGTTACTCCTAACAATATGCGTTCTAGGTCTATTAGGCGTTTTGGTGTGGGTCGTACTCGGCAGCGCTTCGTGTGATCGCCTCAGAGATTGTGATGCTTTCGAGTCAATCTGTGCTGTTTATGAGACGGAACATCAATTTTTTTACAGTGAATGTGACTTGGAACGAGAGAATTGTTTGACGGGGAAAAGTAAGTTTAAAATATAAATTTTTTAATATTAAATTCATTAACAAATATGCGTTAATTTTTTCCTGCAGAATGGAAGCGCGATCACTTCACTCACTGCAATGTTTATAGTTTATAAGTTTCTTAAATTAATATGTATAAAACTAATATTTTTAAAGTGCGAATATATTTTTAGAACAAAATAAATTCTGCCATTTTCAATCTATACTAGTTTAATCGTCATAAAGTTACTAAATTTAACAAAGTATTTATTGTACAATAATGTTAGCTATTTATTTATAAAATACAATTTAAACTAAAGAGAGATTGTAACACATCACAGTCAATACATATTTTACCTATGGCTAATATATATTCACTGAACTAATTTAAATTTCACACTTTATCTAGATACTTTATAAGGTAGACGTAAGTTTAAGTTGTATTTATTACGATGAGATACACTTGCCGCTGCCGTTTGCTTTGCAAGTGTTCAACACGTGTTTGTTTACTTAAACAAACACACCAAAAAATATTAAAATTAAAATAAATTGAAATAAATTAAGATATTTTTAAATAAATTCACATATAATTTAGCAAAAAATTGTATTCATTATGAAATATTTACTTATCATATGACAATAAAGTTAATGAGTCAAACAAAAATAAATAAATAAAAAACATCTTTTATAATGAAAAACATAACAACAGGTTGGAATGTCTCCGATTTCGCTGATTGTTGATTTTAACTATCCATGAGAATTATTTAACGCGAAATACTTCATTTTTTTAAGTTTCAAACTAATTTCACTTTGTATACAATACACAATTATTACATACTTATGTATGAATGTACATAACTTGTACGTATATATCTTGTAAAGATATACTAAACACTGGAAAGTACAATGAGATAGATAAATTCAACCGGTAAAAATCCAGCGTAGTTACAAGTATGGGTTACTTATATCAATCGAAGATATCAAATCTGGTATCAAAATTAAATAAAAAAACAGGAAAAAATATTAACTTTGCTTTGTTGAAGATTAGATACTTTTGTATGAATGTCTTTGAAGCACCTCTGTTTTAATAGTAATCCAACTATCCTATCATTTTATTATAATATCAAGAAAACATATTTTTAATAATTAAAAAAGAAACAAAACAGATGTTTGCTTTGATTTTGTCAGAGCTTCGATATTCTTTCTTTCAATTCTATATATAACTTAAGGTCTTCTTTATAGATAACGTATATGATACATTGTGACCGAAAAGTTTTCGGGAAATTTTAAATAAAACGCAAAATTCTTAACCTTCATCAATATTTATTTTATCTCCTTCAAAATATGCTCCATTAGAAGCGATACACAAATGCCAACGTTTCTTCCAATCATCAAAAAATTTTTTATAGGCGATTTCCGGTATGGCTTTGAGTTCCCTCTGCGAATTCTGTTTTACGTCTTCTATGGATTCAAAACGCGTTCCTCTGAGTGGTAATTTGAGGTTGGGAAACAGGAAAAAGTCACACGGTGCAAGATCAGGTGAATACGGTGGCTGTTCGATGGTATTTATTGAATGTTTGGCCTTAAAATCGTTGATAATGTTGAACAAATTGAGGTGAATCGGAACAAGCCGGGCGTTGACACGTCGCATACACAAATTGTCCACCAAAATCAAACGAGCCATCTCACGACCGATGCCTAGCTCTCGTGCTATCTCTCTAACACTCACATGAGGATTTTTGAACACGATTTCCTTTGCCTTTTCAATGTTTTCGTCGGTGGTAGAGGTCGAAGGTCGTCCAGAACGCGGCATGTCTTCGACGGTCGTACGACAGTCCTGAAAGGCTTTGTACCACTCATAAACTTGAGTTTTCGATAAAACTGATTCCCCATAAGCCTTTTGTAGCATTCGCAACGATTCTGCACACGAAATTTCGTTCGAAAAACAAAATTTGATGCAAACTCTTTGTTCAATATTTTTTTCCATTGTTTTTTTCGCAACGCACTACTGAGGTGAACTGGTTTCAACAGCTGCCGTAAACGAACTGTCCGACAGATCGCGCTCATTTTTGGCATAGTAATTAAGGACAGTGCTGCCAAACTACATAAACTTAAAATATCGAAAAATATACAGCGCGCGAATTTTAAATGAGAATTTCCGAAAACCTTTCGGTCACAATGTATGTACAATATATAATAATTTATAAAATGATTCTTACTTTTGCTCACGTATATATTTCGTTAGCTATTACAGTTGAAAGAACATTTACTGTAGATGGCAATACACATAATATAGATATAACATATAATATAAACACATAATATTAATGAATCTGTACCCTGTAATACAACTTTATCAAAATTTGAACCGTTCGATATCATTTATATGCTCCTCTATATATATGTATCTATATAAGATACCTAACTTCTAATAAAGAATCCAATACCTTAACAAATAAAAAAGTTTTTCTAAGGAAAACATGTTTCTCTCACTGCTAAGAACAGGAAACTGATATATAACCAAACAATTCGTCCGTCACTACTATATAGTTGTATAGCCTTTAGCAAAGCTTCAAACACTACTATTCGCTAGAAATTGCACAAAGCCAAGCTCTGAGAAGACTTTTCAAAGTACCATGGTACACTAGGACGAATGACATCCTCTGGGACTTCAAGACTGATCCCATCAAAAAACATATAAAGGACAGAGCCCTGAAATTATTTGCGAAAACTGACAGATTTACCAACACCGCGTTATAAAATCTCAGAATGGTTACAAGCTCCTCGGGAAGATATGCAGATCTGAGGTCAATTATTGCTTATGGTGATGAAGTGATAAACAATAATCCAGTGAAGGCATAAAGAGGGGCTTTAAAAATACCTCGTGTTAAGAAAAAGTAAAAGTGCTTAAGTGCGCTGGCTCAATTAGTTTCAACATAATAATGTTCCTCAGTCAAGGTTTTCTAAGCGGGCTAAAACTTAATCCAAATTGATCAACCAACTTTTTAATACACAGAGTGCATTTTATTAATTAAATTTATTAATTAACTTATTATTCAAGCTTCAAATTTAAAATGCATCCATTAAGAATTCAAAAAGATAATCTAACAAAAATGTATCTGAGAGAATACAATACATAGCAGCTATATCTACATCTAAACCGACATGAAAAAAATCTTGTAACATATACGTTGTTGTCTAAATAAATGTATGTCCTGCACTGGAATTCAGAAATATATAGGAATCTATTTAATATATATATTTAACTAATATATTCAAATATATCTCTATTAAAAACAAAGAAAACTCATACCCGATTATACAGTTTATATGAAAGATACAGGATATGGTGGTCCGATTTCGAAAAATAGGATTAACTGATTAAAGACCACTACCGAAAAGTATTTGTGCAAAGTTGCATTCCAATAGAACTGAAACAGATCGACGGACAAATGGACTGTGTTTAATTTATTTTTTTTTTTGAAATCCATTTATTTTATTACAATCTGTCAGGTATGAATGACAATAAGTAATATATATAATTATAAATCGTAATAATAATTATTACGATCTAAGAAAAGAAAGACACATATGGACTATGCCCAGTGACTTATCCATATATATTTAATCTATGTTAAATGAGCTATGTTAAATGAACTTAACTTCTTGAGCTGATCCAGACGATGTATACCTTATAGGGGGATACGATCTTTCTATTGCTTTAGGAATCTTTTTTAAGAGTTCAATTATTTTTTTTTTTAATAAAATTTTTAAATCATTAATGTAATACGTATACGCGTTAGTGTAGTCTACCATATATTCACACATTTACATATACATATATACACTAATATACGCTATTCATCTTAAAGTATATAACAATGATTTCTGGCAACAAATTTTCATACTTCTACTTAATATAATAATTTTAATTGAAATAATTTAACTTTGATTAAAGTACGTTTTATTCAAATATTGTCTCAGTAATATAAGTAAAAAAAAAAAGAATACTTCTCCTCCAGAGAAAATACATGTACATTATATTATTGACAACTTATTTGTCTAATTATATTAAATTAATTTCAACCAACACATTCGAATAAATTGTCTTATATAGTTTTTTTTGAACGAAATTTAATTTTATGCTTCAAAATAGCACTTTTTATTTTTAAAATTTAATTAAATATTATAGTCAAATGCATACTAATAAAGTAGATCTTAGTTATATCCTTAATTTAAAAAAAAGGCTCTAACGCCATTGGAACAAGTCAACCATCTTATACCGAGACAAGAGAGTTAAAGGATCGGCTCGTGCAGCCCCAATCGCAAAATGTGTAGAACACTATATAGATTTTAAAAAATTATGTATTTAATTATAACTTTATCATGAATAATTATTATGAAAATTATCTATAATGTGTATTAATTATTATTTTTATTATATTTGTAGGTTTTATTTCTGCAAACTACAGATGTATTGTGTTATTACATTGCATTATTATTATTGTATTTCTCAAAAACGTTTCTCTCTTTTAATTTGAGACAAACTCTAGAATTAGAATTATATATCATCTCAACATTTGTAGGCATCTGGCCATGTTCCACTTAAAGGAAATCCAATTTTCTCATTGAGATACCCCGCAGAGATATTAGTGTTATGTTAGATTTGCTTATAGGTCATTTCAAATTAGGTAACCATGCTAGAAAATTCAATCTCCACTTTAATCATAGTTGTCGCAGCATTGGGGAAGACGATGAGAGTGCCCCTCATCTACATTGTCTTTGCACAGTTTATGCACGGCGGCGACTTAACACTTTTGGGGCACCCTTCCCTACGGATCTTGATCAATTATATGACCTTCATCTAAACAGCATTCTAAGCTTCGCAAAAGATTCTAGGTGGTTTTAACACTCTGAGTTTCTTCTGTATACGATACCAATAAGCCTAAGTGGTTTTACTAAGTCTCACCGGTATAACCTAACCATAAAATATCATAAAACTCGGTTCTTCTTTTCGTCTATATTATACTCTAAAGATAATCACTTAATCAAGTGTAATTTAAATACATTCTGTTAAAAATCAGTTAAAATAGCTGTTAAGAACTGAAATTTTTCTACTCCTGTTATCTTTACTCATAACTTATAAATAGCCTTTTATTTCCAATTATTTGAGAGAAATCGATGCGTGCTATTATATTTTATGGCCACTGATTGGAGTGTTCGATTTAATATATAATAAATATATTTCATTTATTAACTCATATAATGTATAATAAACGCATAAACACTTTCTTAGCATATTTTTTAAATAAAAATTTAATAAGTTTTAAAGTGTTTAATATTTTCATTGCCAACTTTTTATTACGAAATAAAGGATATATGTATTAAACTCTCGTATAATGGTTAGTAATAAAAATAAAAATAAAAATAAAATCGAATGAAATATGAAACTGCATAACAACTAAAACAAACACTAAACAAAAATGTACAATATCAGAAATTCATTAAATGGTAATAATTTTCAAATAGCAATAATTTAAATTTCCTCCAACACAGTCAATGATACGGATAAAAGCCAGTCCAGTTATATAGCAAAGGACAGAACTACTTGCCATACTACACCACACCTAACTAATACGAACCACGACAATGGAT